GTGCATCGCCATCTCCTCCACTGCGCTGAAGAGGGCCCTCGTCGAGTTCCCTGAAGGTGGGCGTTTTATTGCCGTCATTGCCTTCATGCCTAGTGATCTCGACGACTCAACTTCTGGTGTCGACCGCATTCGTGGCACTGGTGGTTGCTCTGGCCTCATGACGGGTCTTTCATTATTGCCATTATTTCGTCTCGTTACCACCCTCGGGATCACACCACCACTGTCTTCAACATTACGCTCTCGTGAGGCCCTTGACGGATGGGACGATATTCACGATGTCATCGTCGGGCGGGACTTGGCGGATAGCCCTGAGCATCGGAGGGAACGGCGATGCAGGCGCAGTGCGTTACCCCGCGAACGCGCGGCCATTCGCTAGTGGAGCTGCCCACGCCCTGCAATCCTAGAACCAGCTGCACCTGCAACGCACTTTTCGCGGAGTGGAGGAGGAGGAGGAGGAGAAGGAGGACGAGGGGGAGGAGGAGCCTGACGAAAAGATGGAGCTGAGTGGGGTGGGGCGCTAGCAGCGCCTTTCCCTGGAGGGCCGGAGGTAGGGGCCAACTTGGGTACAGGGTCGTCAGATACACTGCAACCTCGTTCAGGTGCTCGCCACGCAGGTGCTCGGGGAAGCCCGCGTCGCTCACGTGCAGCAGCTGAGTTGCACAGTAGGGGCCCGGAGCTGTGGCAGTGTGGCCGTCTTGGCTCGGGCCTGCTGCTTCTCGGGCCCCACTGTGCGTACCAACTTCTTGGAGGTCGGACGCAATGTCCGGCTCTGCAGTCTCATTGTCTCGAGACGGCCGACTGGATCGATCATATTAGACGATTTTCAATTGGCGACCGCCTGCGCAAGAATGCTGCCATGTCCACCCATGCGTCGTCCAGGAGGATGATGAGGAGGAGAAGGAGGTGGATGGATTCAGCAAGCACACCTGGGGCGCCCGACGACGACGACGACGACCACGACGACGACGACAACGACGACGACGACAGCGACTACGATCACGTCGAGCCCATGGTGATTTTGATGAGGATGAGGATGAGGATGATGGTTGTGCTGCTGCTGCTGCTGACGATGATGATGACGATGACGATACGGATGACGATGATGATGCTGATGATGGTGCTGATGATGATGATGCTGATAATGATGATGATAATGATGTGCCGATGCTGATGCTGATGCTGATGCTGATGCTGCAGCTGCTGCTGCTGCTGATGATGCTGATGAGTGTGATGATAATGATGATGCTGATGCTGATGCTGATGCTGCAGCTGCAGCTGCTGCTGCTGCAGCTGCAGCTGCTGCTGCTGCTGACGATGCTGATGATGATGATGATGATGATGATGATGATGATGATGATGATGATGATGATGATGATGATGACGATGACTGATGATGATGATGATGATGATGATGATGATGATGATGATGATGATGATGATGATGATGATGATGATGATGATGATGATGATGATGATGATGATGATGATGATGATGATGATGATGATGATGATGATGATGATGATGATGATGATGATGATGATGATGATGATGATGATGATTGCGATGCTGATGGTTATGATGATGGGCGCGCTACGGGCGCGTGTCACAACCGCCGAGAGACGGGAGAGCCGCTCACGGACGAAGCGGCCGCGGGGTCCCCCCCCGCCGCACCACTCCGCGAGGTGGCCGCCGCGGCAGGCAGCCTCCCCGTTCCATCCTCGGGAGCCTCGCGCTCGCGTCGCGCGCCCGCGACGAGGCCAGCACGCCAGCATCTGAGGGTTTCGCCCCGGAGCCGCGACAATGAGCAAACGCCAAGGTCCCCCGAAACCACAGGGAACTCATTGTTTTTGGCCTCTTCGGGCCTTCCCGGGGCTCCTCTTGAGGGCCTCTTGAGCCGTCTTGGGCGAGCACTCCTCGCCGCTGCCCTGCCGCTCCTCGGAGCCCTGCCCCTCGGCACCGCGGGTCTCTGGGCGTGCGGCGCCCCCCCCCTTCCACGACTGCGCACCTCGGCCCGCAGTCGCGGCTGGCCTCGCCTCGGCGCCGACGGCGGTCCTCGCCGCGCCGCGGCGGCCCTCGCGGCGCGCGCCCGCGCCCGTCTCGCGCCGCTCGCGGCCCACTGTGCGCCTTGCGCGGCCGCCCGTCGTCGCCCCCGCCGCCTCCCCCGTCCTCGGCAGTTGCTGTGGCCGCCGCCCCCGTGCGCAGGCGGCATGGCCGCTGCTTCCGCTGCCTCTGCTCTGCCGCGGCTGCCGAGGATGAGGAGGGGTGCTCAAGAGGAGGGAGAAGAAAGAGGAGAGGAGGAGGAGGAGGAATAGGAAGATGATGATGATGATGATGATGATGATGATGATGATGATGATGATGATGATGATGGTGGTGGTGGTGGTGGTGGTGGTGGTGGTGATGATGATGATGATGATTATGATGATGATGATGATGATGATGATGATGATGATGATGATGATGATGATGATGATGATGATGATGATGACGACGACGACGACGACGATGATGATGATGATGAGGAGGAGGAGGAGGAGGGATAGTTAACTACAGATGAAGATGGTACAGGTAATGATGATGATAATGATTTTGATGATGGTGGTGATGATGATGGTGATGATGATAATGATGATGACGCTGATGCTGATTATGATGATGATGGTGACGATGATGATGGTGACAATGCTGATAATGCTGATGATGGTGATGGTGATCACGATGATGATGATGTTAATGATGACGATGGCGATGATGATGCTGATGATGATGATGATGAGGCTGCTGATGACGATGAGGATGCGCATGATGCTTATGATGATGTTGATGATGACGATGTTGATGCTGATGATGGTGATGATGCTGATGATGATGCCGATGCTGATGCTGATTGTGATGATGATGAGGATGATGGTGATGATGACGGTGATGATGCTGATGATGATGATGACGATGATGATGCTGATGGTTCTGGTGATGATGATGCTGATGCTGCTGATGCGGAGGATGATACTGCTGCTGCTGATGCTGATGCTGATGCTGAGGATGATGATGCTGATGATGCCGATGCTGATGATGATGACGACAACGATGGTGACCTTGGTAATGATCATGACGATGCTGCTGCGGATGCTGATCATGATGATAATGATGCTGATGATGATTATACTGATGATGCTGATGCTGATGGTGATGATGATGACTATGATGATGATGATGATGATGATGATGATGATGATGATGATGGTGATGATGATGATGATGATGATGATGATGATGGTACCGATGACGATTATGACGCTGATGATGATGCTGATGCTGATGCTGATAATGATGGTGCTGGTGATGGTGGTGATGATGATGATGATGATGATGCTGCTGCTGCTGGTGATGATGAGTATGGGGATGAAACTGCGGCTGTTGATGGTGGAACTGATGATGGCGATGCGGGTAATGATGACGATGCCCATGCTGCTGAAAATGATGATGATGATGCTGATGATGATGATGTTGATGAGTATGATGTTGCTGATGTTGATGCTGATGATGCTGCCGTTGATGATGAGGAGGGTTATGATGATGAGTATGAGGGTGATGCTGGTGATACTGATTCTGCTGATGATGTTGACGATGCTGATATTAATGCTGGTGCTTATGTTGTTGATTGTGATGGTGCTGCTGCTGACCATGATGCTGCTGCTTCTAATGATGATGATGATGATGGTGGTGGTGATGCCGGTGATGCTGCTGATGATGATGATGATGATGATGCTCCTGATGCTGATGCTGATGGTGATCATGCTGATGCGGATGCAGATGCCGATGACGTTGCTGATGATGATGATGCTGATGATGATGATGATGAGGAGGAGGATGATGATGATTATGATGAAGTTGTTGTTGATGTTGAGTATGGGAACGATGATGCTGGTTGTAATTTTGATGCCAAAGCTGCTAAAGATGATGATGATGGTGATGTCGATGATGAGGACGATGGTGCTGCTACGGATGGTGATGTCGATGATGCTGATGGTGATGATGCTGATGATGACGATGACGATGATGATGGTGATGCTGCTGATGATGGTGATGATGATGACGATGCTGCTGATGATGATGTTGGCCATGCTGATGATAATGATGCTGCTGATGCTGACGATGCTGATGCTGATGATGATGCTGCTGCTGATGCTGCTGATGCTGCTGTTGATGATTTTGCTGCTGCTGATGATGATGGTGATGGTGATGGTGATGATGATACTGCTGATGGTGCTGGTGCTGATGTTGATGCTGTTGCTGCTGCTGCTCATGATGCTGTTGTTGATGATGATGCTGATGCTGGTGCTGATAACGGTGATGTTGATGATGATGATGGCGATTCTGCTGATGCTTAGGATGAGGATGGACATAAGCGTGAGGATGATGATGATAATGCTGATGCTGATGCTGATGCTGATGCTGATGATGATGGTGATGATGATGATCATGATGATGAGGAGGAAGAGGAGGCTGAGGATTAAGAGAAGGAGGTGGAGGAGAATGATACTCACGATGATGATGATGCTGCTGCTGATGATAATGATGCTTACGATGCTGATGATGCTGCTGCTGATGATGACTACGTCGGCGATGCTGATGATGCTGCTGATGCTGCTTTGATGCTGTTGATGATGGTGATATTGATGACGATGATGATGATGATGATGCTGCTGATGATGATGATGATGATGATGATGATCATGATGACGATGGCGATGCTGATGCTGATAATGATGATGATGATGATGATGATGATGATGATGATGATGATGATGATGATGATGACGATGATGATGATGATGCTGATGATGATGATGATGATGAGGCTGCTGATGACGATGACGATGCCGATGCTGATGCTGATGATGACGATGCTGATGATGACGATGCGTATGATGTTGATGATGATGCTGATGATGATGCTGATGATGATGATGATGCTGATGCTGATTATGATTATGCGTATGCTGATCATGATGATGATGCTGCTGATGATGATGAGGTTGATGAGGATGAGGCTGATGATGATGCTGATGATGATTATACTGATGCTGATGCTGATGCTGATGGTGATGATGATTGTGATACGAGAAGGAGGAGGAGGAGGAGGAGGAGGAGGAGGAGGCGGCGCAGGAGCAGGAGGAGGAGGATGGATGGGAGGGAAGTGGAAGAGGAAGAGGAAGAGGATGAGGATGAGGATGAGGATGAGGGTGAGGAGGAGGAGGAGGAGGAGGAGGAGGAGGAGGAGGAGGAGGAGGAGGAGGAGGAGGGTGAGGAAGAGGAGGTGGAGGATGAGAAGGAAGAAGATGAGGAATGAGAGAGCAGGATGCAGGCATCAGGGAGAGAGGGAGGGAGGGACGGCCCCCCTCTTCGTCCTCGTGGTCGTCCTCCTCGTCTTCTTTGTCATCCTCCTTCTCCTCCTCTTCCTCATCATCATCCTCCTCGCCCTCCGCGGAAGCCTCCAGGCACCTCCAGATGGCCCCTCCGTAACCTGCAGAAGGCTTGAGCCGCTGCTGGGCCCCTCTGCGCAGGGTGTCCGAGCGGACGGCCAGGACTCCCCCCCCGTTCCCGCCGCAGACCGCGAGCGGCTACGCGGGCTGCTCAACATGGTGAGCCAGCAGATCGACGGGCCGCGGCGTGTCCTGGCAGGCGGGGGGCGCGCGGGGAAGAGGAGGGTCTGGCCTGGTCCGGGCGAGGGGAGGGGAGGGGAGGTGAGGATTGGGCGAGGGGTGGGGGTGAAGGGGAGGGGTGGAGGGAGGGAGGCGAGCGCGCGGGGAGGAGGGAGGGAGGGAGGGTGAGGGCGAGGGGGAGGGGAGGGGAGGGGGGTAACGGGTTTGGCGAGGGAGGGGGGTGAGACGGGAGGAGAGGGGGGCGGGGAGGTCAGGATGGAAGGAGGAGGGCGGGAGGGATGAAGGGAGGAAGGAGGGAGGGAGGGGTGGAGGGCGGGAGGGAGGGAGGGAGCAGGAGAGAAACAGCACAATGGAGGGAGGACGGAGGGG